ARAYAAAWRAWMGATAGACCAACTAAAACGCTTCCACTGTGTATTTACYCTTCGTAACATTTGGTAGCAGGGCAAGGTTGTCATGGAAAAGTGTATTTCACTTTGTTTATTTTACGTCATTTCACGCTCTAATAGAACTTCATAATAAAACAGTGTATTTACACTTACTATGCCAAGAMAYATCTACATAGCCCCCAAAAATGTACAACTTCTTGACATTGACTATCACCACAGTGGGTCCTTTGCCGTCACATAGAGCATGAAATGTTGCTGATATGAAACCATCTTTTTGGCCGTGCCAACATTTCAACCAGTAACTGTCGTTGTGCTTCAAAACTGGATTTAAATATCCCGAGAGTGCCTGGAAATAGCTCTCATTCCCATAGTTGGTCATTATTGACGAGTTTCCAAGACCTCCTAAGAATAAAAAAGACAATCGTTTAGCTAGGATTCTATCAATAAAATATTGCCCTGAATAAACGAATCGCTAGCTCGCGTAAATTTACTCCTTGCTTACCAAATTAATGAAAGGGTAGAAAAGTATATTTTGGAGAAAATTCTTAACAATATATAAAAAGATAGAAGTCTAGAACTCTTAACTACTTGATTTGCAATAATTCATTGTAGGATTCGTTCCTGGAGAAAAAAAAAATCAGACATGTTTTGTATTACCAAAATTATCCCACAATGCATTGTGCATCAATGCATGACGTAYAAACATAAACCACGAATCTCGAGAACAGAAAGAGTCRARTAATGTACTGTAGTACTCACTGTATTGGTATCTGATGCATTTAGTGCCGTTGAAGTAAAGGCCTGTCTTACAATTACACACATAGGAGCCAATAGTGTTGACACAATCACCATAATCTGTGTCACAAGTGTGTGTCTTTGTTGTGCATTCGTTGATATCTGACAATAGTTGTAAAATAATTAAAATCACATTAGGAGTTTGGATCGCTTCAAAGTGTCTTAAAATATGATATATTCTGTGTGGATATCATACGGAGAGATTTTGAACTTATCATTGTGAATAACTGGTGAATGAGGTCACGTAACCGGGAAACTCCACTAGTCGCATAAAAAATAATACACCTGCAAATAACAACAACAACGATCCCAACGAGACTCAGTCTACGAGCTTTAATACATATTTCATTCAACACATGTGAAGTTCGACGCCAGAACTAGCAAAAATAAGAAAGCATAAAGAAAAAAGTCGTAAAAAGGAATAGTTTAGTGACTTCCAGGTTCTTACCAGAGCAGTTTGTTTTACCATCACCCTCGTATCCATCTTTACATGAACAAATAAACGATCCTTGTGTATTACTGCATATTGCATTGCCGTGGCAAACTGGTGACGTCATGTTGCACTCATTGATATCTAAAAAGACAGCCGATTGCAAATAAACTTAAAATCTTCACTGATGAAGATCGAAGTATCGACCTAAAGGTCTGTCATGTATACATCAATAAAAACAACATTTTTTTAAGTACGAATGGGATTATATGAACGTTAGTTTTTTTTATCTAACTTAATCGATACTAACTACAGTTTCCTCTCACCTTCTTGGCAACGGTTGCCTTGGTAACCTGGCGTACAAATACAGCGATAATCTTCCTTGGCATGGAATTTGCATGAGCCTCCTTTGGCGCATGGACTGGACTTGCAAGGATTCTAAGTTTGGAAAAAAACTGTTATATACTTTATCGTAAAAGCGTTTTTTTCATAGAGATNAAATGTTGTATTGACATATGCTAATTAATTAAAACATGAATATTTATAACATCGGCCTGAAAAAAACCAAATGTTTAAATAAATGTGAAATGTTGTTTTTTTTTCTGTCGGCAAAATGATTCTAATAAACTAATGAACTAGTTAAGCCGATTCAGCCAACTTGTTAACATACACAAGGGACGGCAATGCGCCGCGGTAGATGACGCTAGCAACCGAATTCCAGAAAATTGTATTTCGAATTTAAATTATCAATTCTTAACTGTGTTTAATATGAACTTATTCGGTTCAAGCGTTTTCATTCTTTTTAAATCAAAAGAAATTATTTTCAATACATACCAAGCACGAAGAATGTTCACATGCATGAATCCGAATCTGTTTGGCGAATTCAATGTATAATACAGGAATTTCCTTTGAACAGTTTCACGAGAGGTTTATCCACATTCTGACACAAGAGCAACAGGTCTAAACAGTGCTGGTAGTATTTCTGGCCTCGATCTTTTTTCCATTTGCTCAGTTAGTGTTGTTTTAGAAATCTGTGTTCGAAGCGATTCCAGAGATACTAACGGAACACTGAGAGGACCTCACTAGGGTACCCTAGTCTATTTATACTTTTGTCACTGGTTTCTGGACTGGTTTCTGGCTTTTTAGCCAATCAAAATTGATCTACTGTTGTTATGATGATACACAGAAACTCAAAGCTCGATCCTGATTGGCCGAAAATAGCTTTCGGGTTTCCTGTGTGAACAAGAATTTATCTGGAAACCAGTCGGGATTCCTATGTGAATCAGTGCTACGTCATTTTGCACTAGTGCACTCTCAAGCGATAGTCCGCTGTCTAAGAGCCATTGGGGGACTCTGGGCTCGTGATCGACAGTCTTGTGTCAAACATTTCGATGGTTCCCCTCCCACAAGAACAAAGAAGTTTATATTCCCAGTAGTAAATGTGGGTTTCCTGTGGTACAACTTTCAAAATGGCGGCCAAAGCGATCGTATTGCCATCCATCTACCGGTAAAATACTCCAGTGAATACTCCATATTCTTTTCGTTTATATTATTTTATTTAAAGTATCGCTTTCAACTACATCTTTTTTTGAAAAATCTCACTAGAGTTTCCGGAAACTAGTTGAACTAGTCTCAATCCGCCCCTGAATCTTCACTGATATCTAAAAAGACAGCCGATTACAAATAAACTTAAAATCTTCACTGATATCTAAAAAGACAGCCGATT